AGACAGACAGACAGACAGACAGACAGACAGACAGACAGACAGAGACAGGGATGGAAGAGAACAGACGAAGGCATTACATCCCATGGCGATGGAGTTACAGGCGGTTTGAGCCATCCCACGTGGGTGCTGGCAGGCCAGTTTGGGTCCTCTGGATGAGCAGTACATGTTCTTAATTGCTGAGCCACCCTTCCGGCCATTTTTTTAATTGCCTTTACATTCCTTTTTAATTGTGTGTGTGTGTGTGTGTGTGTCTATACACACGCGCACACACACACACATGTACACACACATGTGAGGGGGTACACTCAGCAGTCCTGGGGGGGGCATCAGAGGACAACTAATGGGAATCAGTTTTCTCCTTCCATCATGTGGATCACAGAGACTGAACTCAGGTCACCAGGCTTGGTGGCAAGCATCTTGACTTGGCCGAGCCATCTCCCCTGGCCCCTTTTCCTATTTCTTCTCCCCAACTCCTCTTCCTCCTTTCCCCTCCTCCTCTCCACAGGGTCTTTCTATATAGACCTGGCTGTCCTGGAACTCACTATGTAAACCACTCTGGCCTTAAACTTAGAGGTCCTTCCTCCTCTATTGCCTCCTGCATGCTGGGATTAAAGGTATATGCCACCATGAACAGCCTCTTTTAAGATTACTTTAGCTGGGTGATGACGGCAGAGGCAGACAGATTTCTATGAGTTCAAGGTTAGCCTGGTCTACAGAGTGAGTTCCAGGACAGCCAAGACTACACAGTGAAGCTGTCTCAAAAACTATATATTATTTTATGTATTTTTCTCTCTGTGTGCATACTCAAGTGTGTGTGTGTGTGTGTGTGTGTGTGTGTGGTGTATACTCATGCCTTCATGTGCACATGGAGGCCAAAAGAGAGCATTGAGTGTTGGCTAACATTTCCCTTATTCCTTTTAGGTAGGGTCTCTCTCTGAACCAAGAGCTTACGCCTTCTCAGTTAAGGGGGAATATAGCAAGCCCCAGCAATCCTCCTGTCTCCACCCCCATCAGAACTGAAGTTACAGTTGTTTGTGGGAGCACCCAGCTTGTGACACAGACACTGGGATCCAAACTTCCACCCTTATGATTGTGGAGCAAGTTGCTCTGTCTCTAACTCATGCCCAGTGTCTCCCTGCTTTGACCAAGGATCTGTTAAAATGCAAATTAAGGGAAGAAGGGTTTCCTCTGCCCAGTTTGGGGAACCAGTCCTTTCTGTGAGGAGTGAGGGGGAAGAAGGGTCATGGCAGGACAGCGGAGTGTGGTGCAGCTGGCCACACTCTGTCCACGGTTGGCTTGAAGCAAAGAGGTCAGGATGAATGCCTGTGTTCTGCTCACTTGCCCTTTGTCAGTCAGGAGCCCAGCCCACAGAACCGTGCTGTCCACATTCAGTTAAACCTCTCTGGAAACGCCCTCCCAGACACGACCGGGTACGTCTGCTAGGGAATTCCAGGTCTTGTCAATTTGCCGTTGTGTCAACCGTCACACCTGCCTTACGATTTTCAGTGACCCCAACGTCGTTGATTTTTCTTCCTCTTGACTCTTGTAAGTTCATAGGATTTCCTCTTGGTTTTGGCTCATGAGGTGGAGTGAACATTCTGTTCACCAGTGACGCCAGGAATATTTAAGAATGGCTTCTGAGTCTGTGGATGCTTTTTAGTGTGCACAAATGCACATGGGTGTGTGTGCGTGTGTACATGTATGTGTGCATGTACCATGCGAGCGTCATGCTCATGGGGACAAGAAGAAGGGGATCCTATCCCCTGGAGCTGGAGTCACAGGTGGTTGTGAGCGGCCTGACAGGGGCTGTGGGGACTGAACTGAAATCTTCTGGAAGAGCAAACAGCAAGCACTCTGAACTGCTGAGCCATCTCCGGGGCTCTGCACTCACATGCACAACCCATGTGCACATGGATGCCTGCTCATGTGCTCATGAGCTCATGCTCGAGAACACACACACACAGCTAAAAATAAAAATCTTGTCTGAGTGGGTAGTACACACCTTTAATCCCAGCACTCAGGAAGCAAGCAGAGGCAGCTAGGGCTATATAGTGAGGCCATCTCAAAACAAAACAAAAAAAAAAAAAAAAAAAAAAAAAAAAAAAAAAAAAAAAAAAAAAACAAAAACAAAAAAAAACATCAAACTTGTCAGGTGGTGGTGGCGCACGCCTTTGATCCCAGCTCTTGGAAGGTAGAGGCAGGTGAATCTCTGTGAGTTTGAGGCCAGCCCGGTCTACAAAATGAGTTCTAGGACAGCCAGAACTATACAAAGAAATTCTGTCTTGAATAACCAAAAAACTAATAATAATAAAATAAAATCTTTTTTGTGTTGTTGTTTTGTTTTTTGAGACAGGGTTTCTCTGTAAAGTTGTCCTGGAACTTTCTCTGTAGACCAGGCTGGTCTCAAACTCAGAGATCTGTCTACTTCTGCCTCCCAAGTGCTGGGATTAAGGGTGTACGCCACCATGCCTGGTTAAAATAAATTAAATCTTTGAAAAGTTAATTCTGCTTTCCATAGTTTGAGTTATGTCTTTATATTGATTTAGTTTATTTAGCAAATAAAAGTCCGTCTTAAGAGCTTTCCTGCTTCCTGTCCTCAGCATACCTTTGATTCTGCTTGCTCAGGCCATGAACTTTCTGGCAGAGTGGGGTGACGAGAAGTAGGACTGGTGGGAACGAAGGGGCTGTTGTAGCTCATCCGCGTCATCACTGAGTGGTCTCCCGGCACCCCAGGCACTATTCTAGGGGACACTGGAGCATTTTCCCCAATGCCTTCTGGTACTTTCTCATTATCAAAAGGCCTTTTTGTCTCTACAGAGGTACAGATCACTCTGTCGTTTTGGGGGACTGGTGGTCGGAGGAGGGTGTCTGGTGCTGGGGATGGAACTCGGGGTCTTGAAATTGCTAAGCACATGCTGTGTCCTGCTGTGTTTCATTCCTTCTGTCTACAGTGTCCCGCACAGTTCTCTGTGTGCCAAACTTGCTCCAGGTGTGACTGTATTGAAGGTGAACTTCAACAGTGACAGCAACTCTCTTAACTGACCCCACTGTTCTACCCCAGGGTAACTGACCCCACTGTTCTACCCCAGGGTAACTGACCCCACTGTTCTACCCCAGGGTAACTGACCCCACTGTTCTACCCCAGGGTAACTGACCCCACTGTTCTACCCCAGGGTAACTGACCCCACTGTTCTACCCCAGGGTAACTGACCCCACTGTTCTACCCCAGGGTAACTGACCCCACTGTTCTACCCCAGGGTAACTGACCCCACTGTTCTACCCCAGGGTAACTGACCCCACTGTTCTACCCCAGGGTAACTGACCCCACTGTTCTACCCCAGGGTAACTGACCCCACTGTTCTACCCCAGGGTAACTGACCCCACTGTTCTACCCCAGGGTAACTGACCCCACTGTTCTACCCCAGGGTAACTGACCCCACTGTTCTACCCCAGGGTAACTGACCCCACTGTTCTACCCCAGGGTAACTGACCCCACTGTTCTACCCCAGGGTAACTGACCCCACTGTTCTACCCCAGGGTAACTGACCCCACTGTTCTACCCCAGGGTAACAGCTGACCCTTTTAATCATTTTTCACTGCCACCCCAGATACTTCCAGAGATGCTCCTAGGACAGGATGAAGAGTGTAGTGTTACTAGATAGCACCCATCTCCCCTATAGCATTGTATTCCGTCTACACAGTGTGCTTAGGGTCTCCTGGACCACCTGCCCTGGGTGTGTGGAACACGACACAGCCAGACCCTCACCAATGAGCTGAAGCCACAGGGTTCGGGGGTTCCCTCCTCTGAGGAAAGCAATGCCGATTCCTTGAACATGACATAAAAATTGCAGGGGCTGGGCAAATCCTCATATAACACACGTCTCTGTTTTTACAAGGTAGTCTGGGAACCACAACTGGGCGAACCAAGTCCCTCAGGGCTGTCAGGGTGCTCTGGGTCAGGTCTTGCTGGGCGACAGGCCTACATGTCGTACAGGCGGAGCTGGTCCTGCATGTCGCAGTCAGACATCTCCCCAAACGTCTCCTTGTTGTCTTTCATGAGCTGGAAGATGGCAGCCAGCTGTTCTTTCTGAACTCTGTTGAAAAGAGAGGATGAGAGGAAAAGGATGCTCCCGACTGAAGGCGGCGTGGGGTGGGGTGCAGTGGGGTGCGGTGGAGTGGGGGGTTGGGGGCCTGTTCCATTGGCCAGGTGCAGAACTCTCCTCTTTTCTAACTACTTTTGCTCTTCAGTGTAAGACCCACCTAAAATGCAGGAGGTGTTTTGCATGAACACACTCGGCCCTGAAATACTGGGTCTCAGTTTCCTCTTGGGCCTGTAGTTGATTTGCATCTCACAGTGAGGCAAGGAGGAAGAGACCGGCATGGGTTAGGAGCAGCTTCAGTTCAGAGGGATGAGCCAGAAGCCAGGGAAATGGGTGCATGCAGACGTGGGCATACAGATGTGTAGGCAAGAGTGCTGGGCAAGGGGGACACAGGGTGAAATCTAGCCCCTGGGGCTCTGCTGCCTAGAGAAAGAGGCTCTTCTTCCTTATGTACACAAAGTGGGTGGGTATCCGGATGGACCTCGGTGTTGACCACATGCTTCTGTGGCCGCTTTGTGGTTTATGAGGTTCCATCACACCATCTGACTGGGGCGGAATGACTCCCACAGCAAATATCAAGGGTGAGCTGGACAGTGAAGCCAGGAACAGTGTGTGGTCCTGTTTGTTCTACCACACTGCCCTGTGCTCCTCAGCAGCAGGGCTACTGCATCCTGGCTCCATCTTGCTACCCTGATTTCTTGATTCTGTAGTTCCTGTCTCAACTGCCCTGAGGCCTGAAAGAACTTGAGCCACACTTGCAGGCTCAGGTCTTAGCCTCTTCCCCGGGGCCATGTCTTCTATAGCTGTGCTGTGGGTCCATCATAACCGAGGAGGCTTCAGCAAAGCTGTTAGCCACTGGACTGTCTGGAGAAGCAGTCCTGATGTGTTAGGTCTTATGCTTTTTCTTTTCTGAGACTAAAAAACAAAAACAAAAACAACTTTTAAATTGTTCTTATTGTGTGTGTGAGCCCCACAGCACACATGTGGAGGTTTCTCTGTGGAGCCCTGGCTGTCCTGGAACTAGCTCTTGTAGACCAGGCTGGTCTCGAACTCACAGAGATCCACCTGCCTCTGCCTCCCGAGTGCTGGGATCAAAGGCGTGTGCCACCAATGCCCAACTTATGCTTTTTTTTTTTTTTACTTTGATACAGTCCTCACTTTGTAGTTCTTGCTGTCCTGAAAGTTGCTATGTAGACCAGGCTGGCCTCAAACTCACAGACCCTTCTGCCTCTGCCTCCTGAGGGCTGGGGTTAAAGGTGTGTGCCAGGCTAGGTTTGTGCTTTTAATGATATTTCTACCCTTCCACACTCACATCCTCCACTCGACAAACCGTTTTTCTGTCTACTGTGGCACCTAGAAGTTGAAGTACCGATGTCCCAATTCCTACCCTCCTTTGTCTGGACAAACCAGGTCTATAGTCAGTTCCGCTCAAGAGGAAGAGGGGGGTGCAGGGTGCACTCTGTACCCCACTATGTGAAGAAAAGAGGTGTGGTGAATGGTGGGGGGGAGGTATTGAGAGCCACGGATGAAATCACCGTCAGATACGTTTTGCACTGCCTCTTAATGAGCTGTCCATAATGTTTTGGTGGTCATCATTGTGTACTTATTGTAGTTATTATTACTGTTATTATTTTTAGGATTATGGGGGAGGTGGGTGTTGAGAAGGTCTCACTACATAGTAGTCTTTGCTAGTCTGGAATTCACTATGTAAATTCTGCCCCTAGGTACTGGGATCACAGCTGTCTGTCACCACCCCAAACCCACAGAGCTGTGGTATTTACTTATTTATTTATACTTATTTTTATGTGTTCAGGAGTTTCATCTACATGTATGCATGTCTGTATGTGTTTGCCTGATGCCCTCAGAGATCAGGAGAGGGAACTGGATCCCCGGGAACCAGAGTTACAGATGCTTGTGGACCACCATCTGGGTGCTGGGAACAGAACCCACATCCTCTGCAGGAGCCAGCATTCTTAGCCAAACACCCACCTCTCCAGCCCTGGGCTGTGTGTGTTTTAATCAGGTATGCATATGGCTTGGTGCTCTGCTGGGACATCAAAGGCATCAAAATGAGAGGAGGTTTAAAGTTTGTTTCTAAAGAGGTCTTCGTTTTGTTTTAATAAAGCAAGTTGAAGAAACACACAGTAACCAAGGTCCTCTACTTAATGTTTTATTGGCTGGAACACAGGCTGTCCGCTTCGAGCCAAGCCGCCAGGAGTGTGTGGGGCTTGTGCTCACAAAGCTATGCTCAGGTTTCCGCATAAGCCTAACTAAGGGTATCCAGAGCTCACTCTCCTGTGAGGAGGAAATCCCAGCCTAGACAGGGACTTCACTATTGCTATTCAGGAACAAGTGAGCGGGACTCTGTAGGTCACCTGGCTCTGTGTCAAAGGCATTGAGTTGTGCATGTTGAGGTGTTGCCTGTTCAGCCCTAAGTCCCGAACCCAAATTACTAGGCATAGGAAAAGGCCGCCAGGAACGCACGCACGGCTTAGGAATTGACAGCTTTCTATTAAATGGAAAGTCTTCTAAAAACTTAGTGCTTTAGAAAAAAACATGTCTTCACCAACAAGTCTAAGACTTCAGAGTTGTTTGGTATATAGTATAAATACTGTCAAATATAAAATTCTGAAAAACTAACCTGGGGCTGTTGGGTGATCATCTGGTGAGGTTCAAAGTCATCTAGGAAAAGCCTAGGAAATGCACAATCCCACGACCCAGAAACCTACTGGAAGCTAATATTGCTATTGCAAGCGAAAAGTGGAGACTAGGCTAATCTGGTAAGAACACAAGAGGCCTGGACCCGAGCAAGACTCCCGGGGTGCGGGTGGGGGCGGGGACAAAAAGGGAGGCCCAATTAAAGCCAGCACCTGGCATGAATCCTTCCTGCCAGAGAGAAAGAGGAAAGACCCCAGGGTGTGTGTGTGTGACCATCTTTGTCAGCACTGGTGGGCTTCACCTCTCTTGTCTCTTCTCAAATCTGGTGGTTTGGCTTCAGTGAGAACAAAAGCACAGGGCGGTTGTGTGAACAGGGTGTTGGGGGAGGGGATGAGGGAGTGTGGGGAGCAAATATGGCTGGTGAGAAAAGCCCAAGGCCTGAGCACATAGTCTTGGCAACCTCCTCCCCAACACCTCTGAGCAGGACAGAGACAAAACCATTCCTGAAGATCTTGCTAGACCAGGGGAACCCAAGGTGTGTGTGTGGGGGGGGGGGTCAACATGTCAGCAGATTAGCAGACAAACTCTCCCCACCACCCCAAGGCTGCATGGGCTCCTCCCTGGGGGCTTCCTGTTTTGTTTGTTTGTTCTTTCAAGACAGGGTTTCTCTGTAGCTTTGGAGCCTGTCCTGGAGCTCGCTCTGTAGACCAGGCTGGTCTCGAACTCAACAGAGACCCGCCTGCCTCTGCCTGCCTAGTACTGGGACTAAAGGCGTGCGCCACCACCGCCCAGCTTTTTGTTTTTTTTTAAATCAAGCTTTTAAGATGTCAAAAGGAAAGAAAGCCTTCAGGAGGAGGCTAAGGACACCTTCATTATTCTTCCGTTCTGTAAAGAGAAATAGGGAGAAAAAGTTCATGTATCTCGCTCGGTTTACTTTAGAAGCAGCACAGGACAAGGACAGAGAGGGCACGGGGACCAGAAGGGTGATGGTTGGAGTCGCAGAGGCCACGCTAGACTCTGCAGCTTTCTCAGACCAGCAGTGTGCTCTGCACACTGTGCAGTGACACAGGCTCCACTGGTCAGTCCCCACCCCACCTCCACCACCCCCAGCCACGTTCTGAGAAACAAGAGCAGCTGGGCAGTGAGCTTGCGGATCCTTGGCTGTCTGGTTGGTTACACTCGTGACATCCTATTGCCCTAGGTAAGTTTTGCTTCCTGCTGCCTGGGTCTTTGTCTCCAGTGAGGGCTGCACCTTCTCCGGGAGGTTCCCCAGAAAGACCAAAAGCCTGGATACTTCTCTGCAGTCAAGTGATCTTATTTTGTGCCTTTGGCGCCCTCTCCTGGAAGCTGGAGTCAATGCATACTTTCAGCCATGAAATTCACTCGAGAAGAGCCAGAAAGGAAGTTAGGGCTGGGGTTCCCACCTCCCTTACTGCCCTAATATGCTGTTCCAAGCCCTCTGCTTGGGTTCTGTCTATTTGCATGAGTCAAAAGTTGACAGTCCTTCAGACTGACCTGTCAACACAGCCTAGTCCACAAGCTGGTCCCCCGTTCCCTCTATGCCGTCGCGCTGAAAAGCCATGCTTTGTCTGCTCCGCTACCTTGGGAGTGGAGTGGAAAGGCCTCTTGCCGGGGAGAGGGGTGTCAAAAGCCTGCTAGCCAATGATCCCAGTCACACAGAGGGAGGCGGCACCTCCAAGAGAAGCTTCGGAGGGAGGCAGGGACAGAGCTAATGTGGGGAGCAGGGGAGGGCTGTCATGTCCGCTCAGAGGGAACTCAAAAGGGTTAGCGTGCACGGCGGCCAGGACTCCAGTCTAGCCACTTCCGGGGAACTGGACAGTTCTGTCTGAGCAGATCCGAGGGCAGGAATTCTCAATTGAGATCAGAGAAGACCCCCCTGGGACCTCTAGCTTCCTAACTGCCACTCCCCAGGGACCTGTGAGCAAGCCTGAGGAGAGCAGAGCTGGGAGCCTCTGCAGGGCTGGGTTCTAGGTGCAGCTATGGTGGCCCAGCGGGTCATTCAAGACGAACCAGGTGCTCCCTGTGGTCAGCCTAGGAGCACGCGGAGGCACTCTGGCAGGGGCGGAGCTGATGGGCGCCCTGCCAGTCTGAGGATGGCTTCATTCACTTGATGGTAACCATGGATGGGTTTCATTATTATTATTTTACGTTTTTGATTTGTTTTTCTCGGATGTGTGTGTGGATGTGTGTATGTGGAGGTCAGGGGACAGGTCCCGGGAGCTGGCTCTCTGCTGTCATCCCTTTAGTCTTGGGGATCAAACCCGGGGTTTTATGTCTGCAGCAGGCACCTCTGGCATCGCAACAGTCCTAGGGCAGTTCCCCAAATTCAGTTAGGTCCAGATCTGTCCTTGAACTACCATCTCTCCAAAACCCAGAGACAGAGAGGTGAAGCCAAACTGAACAGCCTCTGCAACCCCAAGCATCACATGAGGCAGGGGTGTGGACAGGGTGCCCCTGGGCAGCTTCAGCTGGGGCCACATGCAGGGGTGGGGTGGGGGAGCAAGCAGATGTCAGTCAGATGGGAGAGGCGTGTGAGAGCCACGGGAAGCATGCTGGGTAGGGTAATGGAATGAACATGAACTCAGGCCCTGCTGGGGCTCCCACCAGCCTCTCCAGCACACAGTGAGGACTTCCCTATGCAGAGGAAGGTCAGGGACTCCTTCCTCACCCCAGGAGCAGCTCCTTGGCAGTCTCTAGCCTACAAACAGCCAAGCATCAGTGGGTGTCTGGAGTCCCCTGGCGACTTGGAGGCAAAGGCCCTTGGGCAGTGGAGAATCTGCTGTCTTTGAAAATGACATAGACTTTGCCTTTTCATTTCCTGGTCTCAGCTCTGAACACAGGGGCAGTGACAGACCTCAAACTGAGGCCTAGCTGCCACCCACTAACTTGGACAGATCTAAAACTTGAGGCCTAATTGCTCTCCTACTCTGACAGCCCCTCAAGGCCCACAGTGCATCGACCTGAGTGGACAGAATGAGGCTATAGTACTGCCAAAGCCCCATCTCCAGGAACATTGGAGGCGGGGACCAGGGGGGTCAGGCCCTCTCTCGCCTCTCCAGCCAGGGCCGAACCTCCTCACAGGATCTGTGACAATACCTCAGCTCTGCCACTGGAGTTCCAAAACAGCCTCAGAAAGATGAGTGAATGTCAGTGACCATGTCTGTCCTCTGCATTAACCGCAGCAGGGAGTGGGCCACACGCGGCAAGGCTGCCTCAGTCTGCAGGCCTAGCTTTCTTCAGAGCTCTTAACACCCCTGCCTACCCTGCAACATGGGAGGGATTATAGGCCTCTCCTTCTCAGAGTGAAACAAAGACACAGTAATCACCTCACAAGATGGATGCGTATTCCCATAGCACCCCAGGTCTTGGATGATGGTCCCCCATAAGTACACTAGCACCCAAACCAGCTGGACCGCTTAGGTCTACCAGGGACTTCAATTGGCCTCTGAGCGCTTTCCCCCAGACAAGGCTCTTTTTGTGTCTGGGATTCCTCGTGCATGGGAAGAACAAGCCAGGTTCAGATGGGACGAAATGCATTAATTGGTTATGGAGACGGTGGAGGAGAAGGGTTTAGACCACGTCAGTGGCACTGGGGACACATTAGCAGACAACGTGAGGAAGCAATGCTAGTCTACAAAACCAGCCTCCTTACCACAAGGGTTTGCAAGGACATTTGTGGCCCAGGACTAAAGGACTCGCTACAGGGAGGTGAGGTCAGAGGTCAGCTCAATCCTGAAATATAAACGTGGCAAATGGGGTCACAAGAGGGGGCAGCCTCCTCATCCAAGGACTCAGGGTTTCTTCCTGCCTGTGCCTAACCCACAGTGAGGAGGTTTCCTGTGAGGCCAGCATCCTGGCAGGGAGACAGGATCTTGCAAGCAGGGTGGTTGTGATACTGGAGGGCAGCTGGTGGCCCTGAGCGGCCCAGAGAGGGTGGGTAAGCTGTGCATCCCACTTCAGCCTTCTTGCCGACGCTTACGAATCAGGGCTCGTCCCCCCACTAGCCCTGGGTGCCAGGACTGGAAAATGGTGATGTTCTCAATGAGACTTTGCTATAATGCAAGGGCTCCACTCACACAGCTGGGGGCGGGACAGCAGGTGCACATGCTGGAGGCGCAGCTGGGCTGGTGCAAACCCTGCTCCTCCTGGGGCCACCTTGGCCATCCTACTGCTTCAGAGACCCCCTCAGCCACCCCCGAAGTCCAGACAAAAACGTTGAGGGGGATCCAATGGACACACTGGGGACTCTGGTGGGGGAGGGGAGAGCGGCCTGGTTTCAGAACCCAGAAGCCATACAGCTGCCTTGAGCTGTGCAGAGCTGAGCTGTGCAGAGCGGAACAGATAGAGAAGGAACCAGTAGGTGGGGGCCGGGAGGAGGGAGGCTGCCAGATGGATGAGCACCAAGAATCCAGCTCTGTCCTCAAGTGACAAATTGGTTTTGTCAGGGACTCTACGCGTAAGTGAGCAGTGAGGCCACTCACTGTTACTGGCATCTCTTTTCTCTTTATCCTCCAGGTTGGGGAGGCTTCGGGCAGAGAGAACACAAGAAATAGACTGCACTTTCCTCTCATGCTCTCCGTCTGTGATGCCTACCCCAGGGGAGCGTCCTCCCTTGATGGAGGCTGGCTGAATGTTACCACGACAAGAATGGATGCCCATCCCCACCCCACCCCCACACAACAGGGTAGAGGACATGCTGGGCTGGCTCACCCCCGCTTGGCCCTCACACTAGTGTTCCTGAAGCCGCCTACCTCTGCTCCTCCTCCAGTTCTTCTTTGGTCATCATCTTCTTGTACTGGCTTCCCCTCAGCTGCCCAGGGCTGTACTTAAAGGAGAAGGCCGCTCCTGTGGGGACAGTGGGTAAGTTTATTCTCAACTCAGGAGACCAGGCTCAATAGTTAGTTTATTCTCTCTCTCTCTCTCTCTCTCTCTCTCTCTCTCTCTCTCGTGTGTGTGTTGTGTGTGTGTGTGTGTGTGTGTGTGTGTGCGCGCGCGCGCGTGTGTGTGATTACACTCAGGGCCTTGCACATGCTAGTTTAGGCAACCATTGTTCCCTGAACTACATCCCAGCTCCCCTTTGTTCATTGTCAGAGAAACAGACGTGCAACAAAACTGGGCAGTGTGGCTCACACTCTTAACTCTGCCCTCGAGAGGCAGAGGCAGGACGATCTCTGAGTTTGAGGTCAGTCTGGTCTCCAGTGAGTTCCAGAACAGCCAGGGCCACAGAGAGAAGCCTATTGTCAGAGATGCCAACAAGACACGTGCACAGCCCTTGCACCAGCCTGAGAGCAGCCCCAGCTTCAGAGGGGCCACACGCTCAGTGACACAGTGACATTTACCTTCTCACCCCAGCACCTGACCTCTGGCTCATCCTATACTTTCTTATACATCTGCTTTCCTAAGCCTTGTCTCTAATGGGGGTCAGATGGAGCTGACAGAGCCAGACAGAAACTGTCCCCTTCGCTGCTCCATCTTTCAAATGTCATTCCCTCCCCAGGCCAGTTTAAGCCAGCCCAGACCTGTCTTCCTGTCTTGGAGCCAACAATTCAGCTGTTGCCTTCAAGGGTCCCCTCCCATGCCAACTCCCACCACAGTGGCCTCCTCAACCCCTGTGTATGCCGATCAGACCGACAGCAAATGCCATTCACATCCCAGGGAGCGCATGGGTCCCCACACTGGGCCCCAGGGACACAGACTTTCCTTCTCTTCTCCTAGGCTTGGGACAGCCAGGCTCAGTCTCTCTGTCCCTCCCCCCAGGTTATGAGCAACTGAAGGCACACATCAGGCCCGAGATGGGACGCACAAATGAACAGGTTTGGCAGACTGCCAGCACCGGAGAGCAGCCTCCAGTGTCTGCCTGCAGCCTGTTAGAAAGGGCAGATCTGCAGGTCTGACAGTGCCTGTGTGTGTGTGTGTGTGTGTGTGTGTGTGAGAGAGAGAGAGACAGACAGAGACAGAGACAGAGAGACACAGAGAGAGAGACAGAGAGAGCAGAGAGACAAACAGAGACGAAGAGAAAGAGACAAAGCAGAGAGAGAGAGAGCAGAAAGGGCCAGGGCATGTGACACAGTGCCAACACAGATGCCATGGTACCCCAGCAGAGGGAGGCAAGAGCTGCAGTGCTGCATGGAAAAGAGATGAGTCCGGATGAGGAAATCTGCTTGAAAGCAAAGCCCTCAGGGTCCCTCATTACAACCGCTGTCTGGGGAGGCTGAGAATGGCAGGCTGGCTGGCTTCTATCTGATGTCCCTAGGCAGAAAGCCTGAGGGATGGCGACAGCCAATGACACTGCTATCTCCTCTTCCGGCTACTATTCTAGAACTTTCTACTGCCTCTCTGAGAGTCTAAGACACCTCCACATCTTCTCACAGCAGGCCAGGCTCCCCGCTCAGAATAAAAGGTGGCTGGGATGAGCATTCTCTCCTGGCTCCAGGGAAGAAGGTTCTGGAAATGGTCTCAGAACCCACACATTCTGCAGGGACCATGTTGTCACCTCATCCAGCCTCACTTAGGATAGGGGTCCTCACTAGCCAGCTGCCCAAGGCCCGAGGCTTTCCTCATGAAGCAATTGCCACCTTTTACAAGGGCTGATTTGCTCCTCAAATTACTCCGCAAGCATTTAGAGCACGTGATTCCAGGTGCTGGTGTGATCCTGCAGTGACCAGAAGAAAAATGTACACAAAGACTCCTCACATCAACAGCTGGTCCTAGACTAAGGTGGCTGAGGTGGGAGGGGTGATGGGGGCAGGGGCGGTGGCATACATCTTTAGTCCCAGCACTTGGAAGGCAAATCGCTGTGAGTTCCAGGCCAGCCTGGTCCACATCAAGTTTCAGGCCAATTATACAGAGTGTCCAGGACAGCAAGGTGACTGAGGGTAAGGGGACAGGGCATCTGAGTCAGTCAGGGTTGGCTTGGCTGCCAGGGCTCTTGCTGGGGTGAGGTAGTGGCTCTTGGGGGTCTGAGGCAGCACTGGGCTGTCCTCCTTGCCTTCTCAGAAAGTCTCCCCTCCTCTGCAACCCCACCAGGCTAAGCACTGCCCAGCTAGGCTAATGAAAACTCCACTCCATCTGGGTCATCGGGACCAAGAGCTTTTCAAGTCCAGGATGTGGACAGATGAGGCTGGAGAGAGGCGCTCCTCTGAGCAACTGCAGTCTGCTGCCGGGAGTGGAGTGGCAGTGTTCATTCACACTGAGGGGCAAGGTCTTTGTTATCCGGAGACCTGGATACCCTGCATGCCAGGGACGACGGCTGGCTGTAGCCTGAGCTTACAAGCAATCCTCAGGATGGACCCAGAAGAACTGACAAAACCAGTGAGCCTCAACATCTGGGTCGCTGTGTTGCTGTTTTAGAAAAATAAACATAAAAAGTCCAGTCAGCTTGGTGCACGTCTGAGCTCTGGCTTATGGGGCAAGTCTTATTAGCTTGATGCGTTTCCAGCCCGCCAGGGCAGCTGACTGACTGACGCAGGCTTTAACTTAATCACACTCGGTGGGCCAAATCCAATTTTGTTAGAGCAGGGGGGCTGGATGTGAGAGGCCCCAGGGAGTGCATTTAGGGTGGGGGCTTCCTCTTCCAGGCATCATGAATCTATGAGTCGCTTGGGGAAGTCATTTTAGCGACACTAATCAATTAGCCTGGGAGGCTGAGCTGCTTATTGCAGAGGGGAGGGGGGCCTTGCTTCCTTCTGACAGCTGAGACCATTGGCCTCTCTTCCTCTGCCTGGTTATAGTGGCGGGCCATGAGAATTGGTGGCTGTTCAGGGACAGTGGCTCAGAGGAGGAAGGGCAAATTCAGGAGCAGGCATTGGGCTGGGTACAGGGCTTGCGGATGTCAGCTGAGTTAGGAACGGTGGCCCATAGATGTCTCTCTTTGCACCCAGGGGCATCCAGACTGTGACGTCAACCTCCCTTCATCATGCTCAAGTCACTAACAGGACCTTGGTACCCATGTCAGCAGGAACAGTCTCTCGGGCCACAGTCGCCATTAGCTCCTAACTGTGCTCTAGGAATGGAGAGCATGGGCCTGGCTGGCCAGGGTTGACGTCTCCACTGCCTGTGCCTGGGCACCTTCAGAGGCTATACCAGTAGAAACCCACAGCTCTGCCTGCTCTCTGAAAAGCCTGGGGATATCTCTGAGCCTCATCTGCTGACACCCACAGGATCCCCAGTTATCAAATCCCTGAACCCGTTTCCCATCGTTCCTGCCAGCACCTGACTTAAAACTGCAGTTGGTCTTGCTTTAAAAAGAAAGAAAGAGATATCTCTGTACACTTGCTATACTGATCCAATAAATATTAGCATTTTGTTTTGTTTTTCCTCCAGTTTCTTTTTGAAAGAAATAAAATGTGGCTGGGCATTGGTGGTGCACACCTTTATTTTATTTTATTTTATTGGTTTATCGAGACAGGGTTTCTCTGTATTGCTTTGGAGGTTGTCCTGGAACTCTCAGTAGACCAGGATGGCCTCGAACTCACAGCACTCGGGAGGCAGAGGCAGGCGGATCTCTGTGAGTTTGAGACCAGCCTGGTCTACATGAGCTAGTTCCAAAGCCACAGAGAAACCCTGTCTTGAAGAAGAAGAAGAAGAAGAAGAAGAAGAAGAAGAAGAAGAAGAAGAAGAAGAAGAAGAAATAAAATGTGATAGATCAGCCAGTCTGTCTGTCTGTCTGTCTAGAACACATGGGGGCCTCTTGGTTTCATATGTTCCTGTGGCTCCCTCCCTCCCATCTGAGCCACCCAGGGCTCAGGAGAAGCAGCCCCATCTCCGAGGAGGCCTCCTAACAAAATTCACCCTAGAGAGTCAACAGAAAGACAGGCATGGTTGGGAGGGGGAGAAGAGACCAGGCAGCCAGAGACAGCCAGGGAGATTTTACTTCTAAAAGAAGGCCTCCTGCCCCCACAATACTTATTTTACAGACAGAAAAGCAAGGACCAAAGTGAAGGACGTATGCAGGAAGGTGAGGGATTATCCCATAGCCCCTCTCACTCCATTCATCCTCAGGCTGCCCCGTGGTCCCCCAATTCTCAGATCCCACTACCCCCAGAGTGGCCCAGGGAGAGCCAAAGACTACAGCCTCATGGGAGTGGGTGCTGCTCACCATCCTCTTCCTCGGGCTCCTCCGTGGGTGGCCCCGTCTCACTGTCTGAGTCTTGCTCTTCATCCTGCAAGACAATGGCAGGGTCAGTGCTACTTAGCTAGCTGAACCCTGTCCTCTCAGGAAAGTGTGAGGTGTGGGCTGGGGAGTGGAGGTGAGTGAGGAGGGAGTGGGGGAGATATCTCCAAGGTCCAATGTGAGCATGTCCAGCAGCCATGGTGGAATCTGTGGTGTCAGGGCAAAGTCAAGGATGAGGAGGAGGTGACAGAGAACTCTGGGTACCACAAGCCCTCAACTTGAGCCACTCCCAAGTAGTGCCTGTCCAGGCATTTTGGTAAGTGGCCTGGAACACCCACCCTCACCTTAATAAGAGACACGGAAAAAGCTAGCTGGCTGTACTACCTAGGGCCAAGGCCAGCTCAACAGCCCAGATATTCCAAGATAGTAGCCTTCTGGCGGCTTCTAACAGTATTTTCTGTCTTCAGTCAGCTCAGTGACCATTTACCCAAAATTGGAACTCCACACCCTTAGCCTGGTCTCTCCCACACATGGATTCAATAAACAGATGGTTGGGAGAGACATCCCATCCCGTCCCGTCCCGGGATGGCCTTGGTGGAAGGAAGGAGTGACTTCAACTTGAGGAATGTTTGAGGATGAGAGAGACATGTGATCGGCCAACTATGTGGGCCTGGAGGATGTGGGGGGGAGGGGATGAGCGGTCCAAGGAAGCCTAGCAGGCCAGTGTGGAAACGTCAGGTTTGAGGGGGAGGGCATAGGTAGAGCCTACAGTGGAGACAGACAGTGATGTAGGTCTAGGGTACCCAAGGAGCCGTCAGCCTCAGTAGGAGGCTCCCCAACAGAACAGCAAGCTGAGCCTGGGAATAAAGTTTTCACAAACCCCATGGTAGTTGTTGGGTCGCAAGCGGCCAATCCGGGGCCTTGAGCTCCTGAGGATATAGGGCCAGTGCCTACCACGCAGCAGAGCTCACAGACTCGGCGCTAGCTATGTAGAAGCCGTACTGCTCCAGCACAGTCAAGGCTATGTCCTGACAGACCAGACATCTCCCCAGTTTTGAAAGCAAAGTATCTTTGTAGCTAAGGGAGGTGAGCAGGTTGAATAGGAGTAACCCTATTGATACAGAGGACTCACTCTGAAGAATCTGTTGTCTATGGGGCTGGAGAGATGGCTCAGAGGTTAAGAGCACTGACTGCTCTTCCAGAGGTCCTGAGTTCATTTCTCAGCAACCATCCACTATGAGATCTGTTGCCATCTTCTGGTGTGCAGATATACATGGAAGCAGAATGTTGTATACATAATAAATAAAATCTTAAAAAAAAAAAAGAATCTGTTGTCTAGACTAAAAACATTTATCTAGAGCTTTTATACAACAGCACTGGAAACTGATGGGGAGTTAAGAAACTCTTAGCTAAATACACTTGGCTAACATGATCTCCAAAATGTCAACCAGTCCAGTCACCACAGGACGTGCAGAGGAGGTATGTGTACACTGACTATGAGAAAGAATCAAAAGAATTTATTGGGGGGGTTGGGACACTGGGCAGACTACACAAGCCTGAGGAACTGAGTTTGGATCTTCAGCAGCCATGGAAAAGGGCAGAGCTGTGCATGTCAGTAACTCTAGAGCTGGGGTATGTGGCGGGGAGACAGGCAGATGCTCAGAACTTACCAGCTAGCCAGCCTACACAACTGGGGAACTCTGGATTCAGTGAGAGCTCCTGTCTCAAAAGATAAGGTGGAGCTGGGCATGGTGTCGCACACCTTTAATCCCAACACTCAAGAGGCAGAAGCAGGAGGATTTGAGAGTTTGAGGCCAGCCTGGTCTACATGGTAAGTTCCAAGCCAGCCATGGCTACATAGCATTGTGTGTGTGTGTGTGTGTGTGTGTGTGTGTGTGTGTGTGTGTGTGTGTGTGTCTACAGGCCAGAGGAGGATACCAGGTGGCCTGCTCTAGCACTCTCCATCTTGTTCCCCTCAGACCAGACAGGGTCTCTCACTGAACCTGGAGCTAGGCTGGCAGCCATGATACCCCTTTTGTCTTTGACCCCTCAGTGCTGGAGTTACAGGTATATGAGCACATGTTGTTTTTACATGGATGCTGGGGATTCAAACTCAGGTTCTCACCCATGTGCAGCAAGCACCACCTCCCCAGTCCCTAGAATGGGTCTTAATCTAAGCCCTCTATCCTTATCAGAGAGAACCCAGGCATAAAGAGACACTGGCACACACAGAAGACCACATGCATGCCAAGGAGAGACGCTCCAGAAGAAATGCACCCTGCCAAACCCTTGGTTTTGGACTTTTGACCTCAGAGAAAATAAATTGCTGTTGTTTAAGCCCCCAACCCATGGTATTTCACTGCAGTGGCCCTGGCAAACCCATACAGCAGGCTTCCGGTGACAGTAAGCCAACCTCATGAAAACTAAACACTAACACAGGCTGATGTCATCCTGGCTGGTCCCCCAGCAGGACTGGCTGAGGCTCAAAGCCAATCACCTCACAGGCAGTTCTGCCTGCTGCTCTCTGCAGTGTGCTAAATAAACCTGCCTGCTTTCTAAACAAAACAAAGCAACAGCCAATCACCCCACTGAGTCTCAGCTCAGGGTAACTGAATGGATACTCTGTTTAACTGCCTATGTTCTGGGTTAATTTTCCAGTTTAGCTTCTTCCAGGGGTGGCAAGAGACAGAAAGTCTCCAACCAGCATCCCCAAGGACCCAGGCAGACAGCACTGCAGAGGAAGGGTCAGGCTGGCTTCTGGAAGATTAGAGGAAGGCAATGTGTGTGTGTGTGTGTGTGTGTGTGTGTGTGTGTGTGTGTTGGCTTCTGGAAGATTAGAGGAAGGCAATGTGTGTGTGTGTGTGTGTGTGTGTGTGTGTGTGTGTGTGTGAACCCATCTGCTGTCCCAGGAGATGCTTCTGTCGGGATCCTACCAACAAGATCAGCATGAACCCCGTGTCTAGCCACCAAAGCTAACCCAGGGTGTGATGACCTGTACAAATCTGATGCCCATCTGGACTGGCTTTAGACCATGGCAGCTCCACTAGGCAGGTGGAGTTCACTCTGGTCCCAGCTCTTGGGGGGGGGTCTCCTGGAGAAAATGTAAAGCAGGAGGGGCTGGGGGAGACTGCCTGCAAGTCTCTCCCCTTAGTGGAAGGCTATTTTCATCTTTGCATGAGGCGGGGAGGGTTGGCAGTCTGGCTAGAGAGCAGAACTGGCTAGTGCCAGCCAGCCCAACCCCAGAGCCCGTCTCCCCAGAGATATGATCAGATCAGTTCTGCCCCCCCCCCACCCCTGCCTCCAAACAATGCTGGGAGGACGCTTGAACCCCACTTACTAAGTCTCTACTTGCCACCAATGAGAAGGCGTACTTCTTAGGGCAAGGAACTTCTGTTCAAAGTCAAACCACTCACCCTGTCCCTTGCTGGCCCTCTCAATCCGTCCAGCTCTTCCGGGCAGCAGCCCGACACTCATTCCATCACAGCACCTGACAAGACTCCAGCTCCCTTGACCACCAAAAGTCACCTCCCTCTTCTGCTGGCCCACTCGGGCCTTCCTGAGGTCCTGGGCTCACTCTCTAATTTTCCCTACTTTGAGAACACTGTATTGACGACCCTTTAAACCAGTCTCTATTTTTTGTTTGTTTTATGCATGGATGTCGTGAATGTCTGTTCTAGTACCACGGGCATACCTGGTGCTACAGAGGCCAGAAGAGAACATTGGATTTCCCTGAACAAGAGTTACAGATAGTTGTGAGCTGCCATGTAGATGCTTTGAATCGAATCTGGAAGAGCAGCCAGTGCTCTTCATCATCTCTCCAGCACCCACAAGCTCGTTTTTTGTTTGTTTTTGAGACACAGTCTTGTAGCCCAGGCTGGCCTTGAACTTTTTTTTTTTTTTTTTTTTTTTTTGGTTTGTCCAGACAGGGTTTCTCTGTGGCTTTGGAGGCTGTCCTGGAACTAGCTCTTGTAGACCAGGCGGGTCTCGAACTCACAGATATCTGCCTGCCTCTGCCTCCCGAGTGCTAGGATTAAATGTGTGCACCACCACCGCCCAGCTGAACTTGCTACATAGCTGAGAATGACACTAACTTCCAATCCTTCTGCCTCCACCTCCCAGGTGGCACCGGCTAGGTGTAACAGTTTAAGGCCTGTGATCTGTCCTTTGTCATTCACTCTTGGGTCTCTTGACTCACTCTGTCTGACCAGAGGTCTCCCAGATCACAGGGCCTGACAGCTCATAGCTGTTTGGGTACCTGGATCTGCAGGACGGTAAGAGGTGTCAAGGCTTCCCTATGCGGGTAGCTCTCTTTGTCTCTCTGCACTGAGCTCCATGTCAGGCCAACGAGGGAGAAAAAGATTTAGCACTTAGGCAAACACTAGACCCAATGTAAAAAGTGCCAGTTTCTGCTTGAAAACTTCCTGCACTGGTGAGCTCACTCCCTTACAGAGCATAAGACAGGGCTGTGGCAGTGGGGGGCTAGTGAGGCCATGAGCGGGAGGGTAGAGAGATAACTGAACCTGCCTTTGGTGAAGAGCCAGATAGCAGCAAGTTTTTGTTTTGATTTTTGTGGGTTTTGCACATTCTCTATTGAAAAAGACCTGACAGGTGCCTGCTGTGTTGGACCTGTAGTAGCACTGGGGAAGGGACGGTGAATGAGGGGTGGGTAAGGGCCTGTTCTCACCCTTGTGTGCAGACATTCCTCTGCACAGACAATGTGCTCAAAAATAAAAGATGACCTCATGCTGGTTAAGTGCTCTGAGCAGAGCCAAATAGGATGATGCAGGGGGGAGAGAGCCGAGAGCGAGCAGAGAGGAGGGTGATTGCCATCTGCTAACGTGGCCAAGGGAATGGAGACAGGATGTGCACAGGGCTTGAAAAAAGATGCTGGCTGAGCATACCAGGCAGTCAGTCAACACGAGTGTCTAGACATGGGCCTGAGCACAAGGAAGACTCCGGTGGCCTCAGTGGGGACAGTGAACATTGTGATCAAAGTCCATCAGCCTTAGAGGCTGGAGTCTACTCCGCTGTAGCAGAATCTGCAGAGGGCTTCGAGCAATGAGGCTGGGATATGGTTTCTGGGTTAATGAAAGGCAGACTGGGAGCTGATGGAGCTGGGCAGCCTGGGGCACATGGGCAGCAGGAGCCCGGGAAAGGTTATCAGACAGCCTGCAAGAACACAGCATGGGACAGCAGCCAGCAAGACTAGAGGGGAGCTGCTCCGGTACGAGGAGGCTCTGGGAGACAGGCAAGAGGGCTTGTGGGGTGGAGAGAAAAGAGGAGAGCAAGACAGGCCTGGACTTCTGGCCTAAACAGCGTGGGGAGGAGAGGAAGAATCTGAGCAGACAATGACAGACACCAGAGGAGAACGGGCATCCGCAGGAGATGGGAGAGGCCATTGTGAATGCATTTGGTGTCCCTCACTGTCCTCAGGACAATGGTGGCTGTGTGTTCTCGAAGACAGCAATGGTGGAACAGGCCCAGAAGCCTTCAGTTGATATTATACACCAGAAGCTTTCCACTGGGAGGGAGGAGGGGAGAGAGAAACTCCAAGCATGAGAGCACACTCATCCACACTTACACAAACTCCAAGCATGAGAGCACACTCATCCACACTTACACAAACTCCAAGCATGAGAGCACACTCATCCACACTTACACAAACTCCAAGCATGAGAGCACACTCATCCACACTTACACAAACTCCAAGCATGAGAGCACACTCATCCACACTTACACACAAGCATGCACTGGGCAAGGGGCTAGCTCATAGTGCAGGGAAGGCTGGGAATGGAGTTGGAGGAAGGAGTGTGTGTGAGTGTGAGTGTGTGTGTGTGTGTGTGTGTGTGTTGGGGACAGCCTGAGACAGAGATGGACTGACTCTTTGTTCTTTCAGCTAGCACTCACACTCCAACCGTATCCTGTCCAGACATCCAGTCCAAAACTGTCTCAGGCTCGAATCACAGTCCCGTCAAGGGCACATTCTCCAGCCTGAAGCAGACTCACTCAAATGAGCAGGCATGACAGGCTCAATCCCATCAGATTAACAGTTTTGGGCAATGCTTCCATGGTAGGGT